CTAGTGTTGTTCGCTACATCTAAGACTTTGTGTCCTTTAATGACCCTTATGATATGGCTTCAAGTTAGGAAGTTGAACGGAGCAAGACCCAGTGATTCTCTCTTTGTGGAATCGAACTCTAGAGATATTAGAACTCTAGAGCTGTCTCCTTGTCCTGGCTGTACATTGCTCTCACCAGGGCAGGCTTAGAATCCAGTGCTTATTCTGGACACTTGTTCCGCGTTGGTGCAGCAACTACAGCTGCTAGTGCCAGTGTGGAAGATCATTTGATTAAGACATTGGGCAGGTGGAGTTCAGACTGTTTCACCAGATACATCAGAACACCAGGAGAGACATTAAGGAAAGCCCAACGAGCATGATGCTATGAGTGACCCTTTCTTTTACTAGAGGCTTGACGATTGTGTGTGTTGTGACTTCCTGACTCTGTTCAGTCTTGTTCTGCGACATTACCTGGATGATATAACTCATTGGACAATATTGGATTCAGTTTTTAATTCTAATATGTATTATATTTAACATTATCGTTTTATATCATCAAGTTTATACTTTTCTTATCATTTTGGGGGCTCTCGGTTTTTACCTCGCTTTGGGCTTTGCAAGTCAATCATTCTGTAAACTACCATTATATGGCTTGCAGCCCCCAAAGTATTTTCATTTTCACTCATACCAGCAGGGTATCACTCTTTCTACTGATTTTCATTTCACTCACACACACAGGGTATCACCCTTTCTACTGACCCGCAGGGTCTCTAAATTACATTGCCGGCAGGGCAACCTTTCTTATTTGGTATAACCTTTTTAGATCTACGCACAGGTAGGTAAGTATGGGGTTACCAGCGGTATGATCAATTAGAACGAGTTCATCTTTTGGCATGTAAAAGATTTTAAAAGGTGGGAAAACAAACGCCAAATGCCATTGGCTATGGTGAATGTTGTCGCTACCCGCTTTATGTCAACGCACAGGTCCGCATTATAAAGTATTGGTTAAAATTAACCCGAATGCATGAAGGGCGTATCCCAAGAAAAGTATATATAACATGTTTATGTATTTCGACAACATTGGTCGTAATACTTGGGTAGCATCTGTTCGTAACATTTTCGCATGGTTTGGGATTTGTATGGTTAAACCAGTCTGTTGAGGACAATACAGCTTTCACTTGGGTATTTAAAACGTGTCTTGTAGATGAATTTCGTCAAAACTGGATGTCGACATTCAACAGTAGTAACCGATATGTGATGTATAAAGAATATAAAACACTGTTTGAACCTGAAAGATATTTGAGTATTTACAATAACAAACATGTACGCAGTGTTTTTATTAAATTAAGATGTAATGTCTTACCTTAACGACAGAACGAGGGTAGATGAATCCTTTATTGAATCATGTTTACGTATATGTGTCCTGTTTGCAATATGTCTGTTGAAGATAAATATCATTTCGTATTGATCTGTAAATATTATACTGAACTTTGTATAATTTAATTGCCAGAATTGTATAGGAAATTTCCAACTATATAGACATGAAAATAATAATTGTTTACAACTCAGGATGAGGTATCAAAACGTCTGCAATATTATGTATATATTCATACAAACAAAGACATGAAGTCGTAAAATCCATGTAATGTGCTTCACATTGTATTACTGGCATTGCCTACACACAAATAAACTAATTTTGACTTTGACTTGACTTGATACTTGGAAAGGGACACTCTGTTGTGGGTATGCCAGAAATGACGAATAACGGTGCTAGTTGAATTTGGCATCACTTTTGCCTGGTGTACAAAGACCCTATCCACCCTGGCACTGGTCTTCCGTGGACGTCCTGAATTCTAATGAGTCGACTGATTACAGTAAACGTGATCAAACAACACGGTGGCAATGGCCCGACATGACATGCTAGCTTGGTGCATGATAATGATTTGCCATCTTTGATTTTAAGGGATAGTAAACTTTGGCATTTCAGTTACAATCGTCCCAAAAACAGACTTTCGAATTGGTAGACCTTTCATTCAAATTAATAGCAGTAAAGACGCATGAATTTTCTGTAATCAAATATGAATTTCTCTTTGAGACCCTTAAGGTGTGCATACGGCTCGCATAAACGCACCTCATGGTTGGGCTGGTAAGGGGCTACCATTCCACAGGCAGATGATGTTACAACACACAGTGTACCATCTGATAACTTAACATTGAAAATGAACTCGCAATTACACTTCAAATTTGGTAGAGTGATCCTTTTGACGAGGTGTATATTAGTCTGTAGGGATACGTGGATGTTTCTGGTAGACTATAGTGCACGGATAGATGTTTCTGAGAGACAATAGTGTAGGGGTAGATGTTTCTGGTAGACTATAGCGTATGGGTAGATGTTTCTGGTAGACTAAAGTGTAGGGGTAGATGTTTCTGGTAGACTATAGTGTATGGGTAGATATTTCTGGTAGACTAAAGTGTATGGGTAGATGTTTCTAGTAGACTATAGTGTATGGGCAGATCATTCTGGTAGACTAAAGTGTAGGGGTAGACGTTTCTGGTAGACTAAAATGTAGGTGTAGATGTCTCTGGTAGGCTATAGTGAAAGGATCTATGCTTCTGGTAGACTAAAGTGAAGGAGTAGATGTTTCTGTAAAAGTATCGTGTATGGGTAGATGTTTCTGGTAGACTATAGTGTATGGGTAGATGTTTCTGGTAGACTAAGGTGTAGGGTTAGATGTTTCTGGTAGACTAAAGTGTTGGGGTAGATGTTTCTGGTAGACTATAGTGTATGGGTAGATGTTTCTGGTAGACTATAGTGTTGGGGTAGTTGTTTCTGGTAGATTAAAGTGTAGGTGTAGATGTTTCTGGTAGACAATAGTGTAGGTGTAGATGTTTCTGGTAGACAATAGTGTAGGTGTAGATGTTTCTGGTAGACAATAGTGTAGGTGTAGATGTTTCTGGTAGACAATAGTGTAGGTGTAGATGTTTCTGGTAGACTAAAGTGTATGGATAGATGTTTCTGGTAGTCTATGGTGTATGGGTAGATGTTTCTGGTAGACTATAGTGAAGGGTAGATGTTTCTGTTTAAGTATAGTGTATGGGTATATGTTTCTGGAAGACTATAGTGTATGGGTAGATGTTTCTGGTAGACAATAGTGTAGGTGTAGATATTTCTGGTAGTCTATGGTGTATGGGTAGATGCTTCTGGTAGACAAAAGGGAAGGAGTAGATGTTTCTGGTAGACTAAGGTGTATTGGTAGATGTTTCTGGTAGACTATAGTGTATGGGTAGATGTTTCTGGTAGACTATAGTGTATGGGTAGATGCTTCTGGTAGAGTATAGTGTATGGGTAGATGTTTCGAGTAGACTAAGGTGTAGGGTTAGATGTTTCTTGTAGACTAAAGTGTTGGGGTAGATGTTTCTGGTAGAGTATAGTGTATGGGTAGATGTTTCTGATAGATTATAGTGTACAGGTATATGTTTCTGGGAGACTATATTGTTGGGGTAGTTGTTTCTGGTAGATTAAAGCGTAGGTGTAGATGTTTCTGGTACACAATAGTGTACGTGTAGATGTTTCTGGTAGACTAAAGTGTATGGGTAGATGTTTCTGGTAGTCTATGGTGTATGGGTAGATGTTTCTGGTAGACTATAGTACAAGGATATATGCTTCTGGTAGACTATAGTAAAGGGTAGATGTTTCTGTTAAAGTATAGTGTATGTGTAGATGTTTCTGGTAGACTATAGTGTAAGGGTAGATGTTTCTGGTAGACTATAGTGTATGGGTATATGTTTCTGGTAGACTATAGTGTATGGGTAGATGTTTCTGGTAGACTAAAGTGTTGGGGTAGATGTTTCTGGTAGACTATAGTGTATGGGTAGATGTTTCTGATAGATTATAGTGTACAGGTATATGTTTCTGGGAGACTATATTGTTGGGGTAGTTGTTTCTGGTAGATTAAAGCGTAGGTGTAGATGTTTCTGGTACACAATAGTGTAGGTGTAGATGTGTCTGGTAGACTAAAGCGTAGGGGTAGATGTTTCTGGTAGTCTATGGTGTATGGGTAGATGTTTCTGGTAGACTATAGTACAAGGATATATGCTTCTGGTAGACTATAGTAAAGGGTAGATGTTTCTGTTAAAGTATAGTGTATGTGTAGATGTTTATGGTAGACTATAGTGTATGGGTATATGTTTCTGGTAGACAATAGTGTAAGGGTAGATGTTTCTGGTAGACTATAGTGTATGGGTATATGTTTCTGGTAGACTATAGTGTATGGGTAGATGTTTCTGGTAGACTATAGCGTATGGGTAGATGTTTCTGGTGGCCTATAGTGTAGGGGTAGATGTTTCAGGTAGACTATAGCGTAGGGGTAGATGTTTCTGGTACGCTCTAGTGCAAGGGTAGATGTTTCTGGTAGGCTATATTAGAGGGGTAGATGTTTCTGGTAGACTATAGTGAAGGGGTAGGTGTTTCTGGTGGCCTACAGTGCAGAGGTAGATGATTTTGGTAGGCTATATTAGAGGGGTAGATGTTTCTTGTAGAATGTAGTGTATGGGTAGATGATTCTGGTAGACTATAATGTAGGGGTACTTGTTTCTGGTAGACTATAGTGTATGGGTACATGTTTCTGGTAGACTAAAGTGTTTGGGTAGATGTTTCTGTTAGACTATAGTGTAGGGGTAAATGTTTCTGGTGGACTATAGTGTATGGGTAGATGTTTCTGGTAGGCTATAGTGTATGGGTAGATGTTTCTGGTAGACTATAGTGTATGGGTAGATGTTTCTGGTAGACTATAGTGTATTGATATATGTTTCTGGTATTCTCTAGTGTAGGGATAGATGTTTCTGGTAGAATATAGTGAAAGAGTATATGTTTCTTGCAGACTTTTGTGTAGGGATAGGTGGTTCTAGTAAGCTGTTGGGTGGGCATATATGTTACTGGCAGACTATTTTGTAGGGGTAGGTGTTTTCTGGTAGACAATGATCATGTGGTTGGTGTATCTGGGAGTATATTACAAGCAAAATCTGATGATATGTTTATTGTAAAGGTTGTACAATGAGGATTTACAACTTTGTTGCTGGCCATGTTTCGTCAGCAAGGGTATAGACAGACACGCTGCCACTGGCCTCAGATGTCACGATCACCTTTGGAGTTCCGGTACTCGAGAACCTGAAGAACAAAGCATTGTGATTTAATTGTAATATTAATGTCTCTGTAGTTCTATGTCCTCTCAACTACAACTCAACGTGATCTCTTGTGCACAATAAGAACGAACAAGTTCTGAACTTCTATATATAATTGGCATGCCACAGACGTGTTTGTGGGGATAATACAACCTTCTGTACAGAAAAGAGATGTTAATTGTGAAAAGACATTATTCAAATAGGCGTCTTTGGACATCAAACCATATTTCAAACACATAAGCGCGATGCGTTGGCGTCTGGCGTCGCCTTTTTAACATGGAACGACACGTGGTCGCGAAGCATGAAATTAGCTGCAAGCAGATGATTTCTCAATTTCTGGTTAGTAACTCCGGAGGGCCGGGGCGATTGAGCAGCGATGCTATTGGCTGTTTGGGCTCGATTTCTTAAACCCTTTTTCATTAAACGACCCCATACTTGTGTTGTTGACAAAGGGCTGGGCGAACGTTTACAGAGACCTGTTCTCAAGACTGCAACATATTGACTACCTCTCGCTGATTTCTACAAGTCTGATCACAATTACTGCATTAAAGCAAGTATCGTAGGCAGTTTGGGGGCGGTCAGGTAGCCTAGTGGTTAAAGCGTTGGCTCGTCACGCCGAAGACCCGGGTTCGAATCCCGACATGGGTACAATGTGTGAAGCCCATTTCTCGTGTCCCCCTTCATGATAAGTAAGTAAAATATATCTATCTTAATATTCAAAAGGCTGCCCAATACAAATTATTACGGCAGCTGGGCTATTATTATCATGGCCAGCAGCACGAACACGGAGTCATGTGCGGGTCAGCGCCTTCTATTTAACACTAGAGGATGGCCGGTTGGCCACTGAAGCTTAACATTGTGAATGAGGTGCGGGATATTGCAGGCTGACCAGAGAGGTATCATATTCGATACGTGGCGGCTGGTCAGTGATTTGAAAAACTTTCTGTTGGTCGAGACCTGACCCTAGGACAGCGGCTAGGCAGGTTGGCTCTCTGACGCCTTTGAGATGCTGCCTGGCCACGTCTGTCTCATCTAATCATGATTATATAGATGCTGTAGTTATTACATCACAAATAAAGCGTTGTGGACCCATTGATGGACTCCTGTGATTGAAGGACAGATATCTCACACAACCAGCCTGGGATACAGTAGTTAAAGCTTACGTGTTACTGTGGATAATGAACATCAACAATATTAATGGCTCCGATCGATTTGAGGATCTTTCACTTAAGACTTACTTGATGTCAGATATAATGGCATCTCCCATGTCCTCCCTGGTGTACAGATTTGTCCAGGTTGCATCTATTTCCCCGGCTCTGTGCACACTCTGGAACTCTGGGGTGGGGGTGTTCACATTAGGCTGCAACGTATATACATACAGCATACCGTTCCTGCCGCTTCCTATCACCAACACTGTACGCCCATTGAAGTCGCCAATAGCAACTGAATTGGGTTCCGGGCCCTGGAATTGATATTTTATAAAATAAATCATAATTCTTTCCGATGTTTATAAATCATGTACAAAAGTACAGTAGTTTGTCCTCTCACCATCCATGGTGATCTGGCGTCCATCTCTTGCACGGGGGTTTCCAAAAAGGCGGCGCAGTTACCATTGTATGTATTTGGGAAGTGCTGGCGACTGTACCTCTCCAGCTCGTCACCGCTCTCCCAGGTTCGCTCCATCGACTGTGTGTTCCAGATTGAGAACCCACGTCCACCGAAAGCATAGGGAACGTTCGGCGTGTTATCAAACCCGTCAACGTTAGAGACGTACAGGCGACCTGCAAATATTGAAAAAACAAACGGCATACAAGCATAATAATCTGTTTGCACTGGATGGTACTTCTACATCCTCCACCTTTGACACTGAACTTCGCATTGCTGCTATAGCTAGAAGCCCTCGAATAGTTTTGGCATCTCCTGTAAATCGAGCTGCAAATTAGAGTTGTATTTGGCGTGCTGAGTTACAACATAACACATCCAGTTGGTCAGAAATGGTCTTCAGTAAGAACTGCCTAATGAGGATCGGGTGCTCAGGGTCCGTGACATGCCCGACTCTGTGGTCATCGTGTCCAGTGACGTGACCGTTACTCAATCTGTCACTGATTGCCTGGTTAATATTCAGTTATTTACAGGCCGCCGTGATATAGCAGGAATATTGTCAACTTGGGCGTCAATCAACTCACTCACGTATATAACCTTGCTAATGTCTATACCTAGTTCTGCGTTATTGGTCAACTCGGAGCCCAGGGCGGCGTCGTCAATATTCCAATCTGGAAACAAATATAGACAAGATTATATCTGTGACATGAATTTTCCTTCGTTAAACAGACCACCCGACATATATATATATGTATATATATATATATATATATATATATATATATATATATATATATATATATGTCGGGTGGTCTGTCGGGTGGTTTATATATATATATATATATATATATATATATATATATATATATATATATATACAAAAATGAGGTAAATGTTCACTCGGTGTACATGTAATATATAATAAAATAATAAAGTCCACGTTAGTCCATCATCTTCTTTATATCAGTTTCATACATAGTACTTTCGCTGTCTCATGACAGCTCTTCAGTGTAACTGACAATGACATATAATGACGTCATACTTATGATGACGTCATAAATTACAACTGTGACGTCACAATGTATTTACACACTCCAGCGACGACACCAAGTAATTTAACAATTGTAGGGAGACTTTTGAATTAAATATACAGTATTTGTAAAGTAACAGTGCAACATTTACGATTGAAATGACAAATCTATTAATACATTCTAGAGTTCAACTTTGGTTTCATCAATTGGATAAACATTTGTTCTTTTTCCAGTCTCAGCTGCTTGTTACTTGTATACAATTTATAAAACGGAAAAATAGTAAATTTCCCGTTTCCGCAATCATCAATGTGTTTGCTGACACCTAAGCATCGAACATTAGGGTCTCTAATCTGCTGTTTGTGTACAGTGACTCTATCTTTTAATTCCATGCCGGTTTCACCGATGTAGTTTTCGCCGCATCCCGAACATCTCATAACATACACCACATCTTTGCTGCGGCAGTTCATGTCGGCTTTCACATTGAAACCCTTGCCATTTGCAAAAAGGAAAGTAGTACCTTCACTTATGATGTTACACGTGCCGCATCTTGGTGTGTTACATCTACTTACACATGGTACACTCTCTGTACAAGAATATTTGGATGGACAAAGAATCTGCTTGAGATTTTTTGGTTGCCTGGTACTTTTTATAATTTTAAATTTATTCAGTCCTTGTTTCATTTTATCGCTTTGCTGTAAAATTGGGAGGTTGTCCCTTATGACTGGCATGATATCACAATTATTAGGATTGAAGGTGGACACAAACGGTATAATTTGATCGCCCACAGATTTTTCATTAGGTTTCAGGAGAGTATGTCTTGGAATTTTTAAAGACTTTTCTATTGCGTCATTTATGACGCGAAGCGGATATCCTAGCTTCCTGAGATACCCCATTAATTCTTTCAATCTTAAATCTCTTTTATCCGTTTCCGACACGATGGTACATACTCTCCGCGCAAGTGAATAAGGAATGTTAGTTCGTGTATGCCTGGGGTGACATGAACCGAATTGTAGGTATTGATGGGTGTCCGTTGGTTTGTAGTAGATATCAGTTTTCAATTTAGTATCTTCCTTAACTACAAGGACGTCCAGAAATGGAATTTTGCTCTCGCTAGACTCCATAGTAAAACTGATGGAAGGATGGAGCTTATTAATAATATCCAGAAAAATGTCTAAATTTTCACGGGTTGAGAGCCAAACTAAAAAGCAGTCGTCCAAGAATCGCTTCCAAGTTTCGCGCACATGTTTGGCAATGGATTCTGACATGGAATCGTGTACCTTCCTGTAAAGAATATCCTCTATGTAACCCATCACAAGTGTAGCGTATGTTGGGGCGACTTTCGTTCCCATGGCCGTTCCCTTTCTTTGATGATAGAATTTTCCGTTGAAACAGAAGGTATTATTTTCTAAGACTAATCTTAAAGATTCCATAATGAAACTTTCCGAAAATTCAGTGTCGATAGCCTCAGGATGTTTTCTCAGCCAAAACTGAACTGCTTCCAATCCCAGATCATGGGGTATGTTGGTAAATAAACTCTTCACATCAAAGGTGGCTAGAGTCGCATCAATAGGTACGGCATCGGGCAGCTGGGAAAGAAAGTCTACATCGTCTCTTACAAAACTCGGTACATGCTTTGTTAATGGTTTTAAAATGATATCGACGAGATTACTTAGGCGCTGAGTCGGGCTGTTCGGTCCTCCGACAATCGGCCTGAATGTCAAATCAGGACAGCTGGTAATTTCGATATACTCCGCATTCTGTTCGGCAATAGCATTATTTATCAATTTACTTTTATGGATCTTGGGTAGTCCATAGAAATTAGCCGTCTGCGGGTCACTGTTTATTAAGTAGTCTTTTTCTTTAGGGTGTAGATCTCCAGAGAAGTCATCACTATGTTTTTTAATCTTCTTAATTACAGCTTTTTCAGTATTATCTGTTTCAATGTAAAATTCCTTGTCTTGCAATAATTCATACATATTTGATTCATAATATTCCGAGTCCATTATTACGACTGCGCCGCCTTTATCTGCTTCCTTAATAACAATCGATTTGTCATTTTTAAGATCCTCCACAGCTTTACGTTCTTCCAGTGATAAGTTTGGATGGCACTTCCTGATGTTCCGTAGAGGATATTTCTCCAGGTTGTTTAAGTAGTCATCAAGGTATTTATCCCTGTTCTTTTTTGGATTGAACATGCTTTTGTTCCTTAATAATGGTCTATTTGTGATCGAATTTTTATCGGAAACGGATATATCATCCTCTTGATCATCGCATTCAAAATATTCCATGAGTCTCAGTCTTCTACTGAATGCATGAATGTCCACTTTAAGCTCTTCGTGATTCTGTGACGGAGTTGGCGTGAACTTTAGACCCCGTTTTAGTAAAGTTATTTCAGCTGTAGTGAGTTGTCTTTTAGAAATGTTAATTATTTTCGGGTCAACGCGTTGTTTTTCTTCTGCAGCAGTCACATTTCTTTGAATCTGTGCCTTTTTTGGTGGCTGTACCCTAAAAAATATCTGTTGTATTCCTCGCGTTGTGCATTATTTGGTCTGCTGTAATCACCATGCTGTATATTATTGACTCTTCCTTGTTCTGTGCCACGTCCTCTTCCGCGTCCTGTACCACGCAGGAAACGTTTTTCCTGGTTCCCATGATAGTATGTGCGATTTGATTTAAAGTGGTTCAAATATTCTGCATGTTTTGGTCTCGTCGACATCGCGGCCTCGTTCCGTCTTGCGCTCTGACCTCGCTTCAATCGAGTAGAGTGGTTTGAAGTAGCTTGCTGGTTAGTTTTCACAACACTAGCATAACTTCGGGTGGCCCGATTAGACGGATGGGTGCTTGGTGTTGTGCAATTAGAGTTTTATAAATTGTATACAAGTAACAAGCAGCTGAGACTGGAAAAAGAACAAATGTTTATCCAATTGATGAAACCAAAGTTGAACTCTAGAATGTATTAATAGATTTGTCATTTCAATCGTAAATGTTGCACTGTTACTTTACAAATACTGTATATTTAATTCAAAAGTCTCCCTACAATTGTTAAATTACTTGGTGTCGTCGCTGGAGTGTGTAAATACATTGTGACGTCACAGTTGTAATTTATGACGTCATCATAAGTATGACGTCATTATATGTCATTGTCAGTTACACTGAAGAGCTGTCATGAGACAGCGAAAGTACTATGTATGAAACTGATATAAAGAAGATGATGGACTAACGTGGACTTTATTATTTTATTATATATATATATATATATATATATATATACTGAACCAAATTATAAACTTCACAATCCTAAAATTTTAACATTTTGACCAGTTATCATTGTGGGCCCTTATTGTGTATTTAAACAGTAATGGCCACGTATTGTCTTCAGATAACACCCGTTTTTGTGCAGATGAATCGACAAAATCATATGCACAGCACTATAGTGGCAAAAGTGGTTTTTCACGTGCAACTGGTCACGTGGCCATAATACCGCACATGTTTTCAGCCATACTTGTTAGCAGTCATTAACAAAAAAAAGAAAAACACAAGAAAACAAAAGTCTTTACGGCCATTTGTCATGCCGCCTGTTAAATGTGCAACGTGAACGTGCCATCGACATGTTTCAGACGGGAACGTCCGTAGCTGAAGTCGCAAGGACGATGGGTTGTAGTCGACGGACTGTTTATGATTTACAGACGCGTCTACAGCAAACGGGTACCACCGCTGATCGCCCTCGGCCAGGTCGACCACGTGTGACGTCACATGCAGAGGATCGTCAGATTGTCTTACGTCACCTCCGTAACCGATTTTTGACGGCTACATCAACCAGAAATGAACTGTTTAGGGTTAGACTGAGTGCGCAAACTGTTCGAAACCGTCTGAGAACTGCTAACCTTCAAGCACGACGGCCATACTGCGGGCCGATTCTGACTCAATTACACAGACGCCAACGTCAATTGTGGGCACAGCGACACTTACGATTGACTCAGAGGAATTGGAATCAAGTCGTCTTCAGTGATGAATCCCGATTTAATCTTCGATTCGCTGATGGTAGGGCGAGGGTGTGGAGGCGCCGTCATGAACGTTACGCCCAGTGTTGTGTACAGGAAGTTGACAGATTTCGAGGCGGAAGTGTCATGGTGTGGGGTGCTTTCTGTGGCAATGCACGTTCCAGGCTTCTTGTCATCCGTGGCAACCTCAACTCTGCTGCTTACCGCGACCAGGTACTGGCACCAAAACTTCTGCCTTTAGTGGCAGCACATGGACCCGGTTTGATCTTCCAACACGACAATGCCAGACCCCACACAGCAGTTTTGACAAGGAATTTCCTTCAGAATGCGGGAGTCAACATCATGGACTGGCCGTCAAGGTCTCCCGACCTCAATCCCATCGAACACGCCTGGGATGCTCTTGGCAGAAGTCTGCGCACTCTCCAGAACCAACCACAGAATTTGCAAGATCTTGGCACCATTTTGCAGCAACAATGATGTCGTCTTCCCAATCATGTGTTCACAAGCATCAGAAGGTCCATGCGGAGGCGTTGTGTGGCAGTTGTCAACGCACATGGTGGCCATACACGCTACTGAACTTGTGTGCCATCAGATTTTCGTGCTTGGGACTTATGATTTAAACTGTTGATGTTATTACTGAATACCGTAGGTGCTTGGAACAAATTATGGTTACCACCGTTAAATAAAATCCTTCTTTGGACATTAATGATTAAAAATTACCTTCTCTGGTACATTTGTCCGTTGTATATCATATATATCACTTTTAAAAATGTGAAGTTTTTAATTTGACTCAGTATATATATTTATATATATATATATATATATATATATATATATATATATATATATATATATATATATATATATATATATGCCACAATATGGGCCTTGTTGACATCTCTGTGCATACGCATTAACAAAAAGTTCCTGCTTTTGTGTGTACAAACATGACAACACCAACGTTCAAGATCTATATTTGACAATTTTGCCAGCGAATGGTAAGTCAAGGCCTAAAATGTCAGTACGCAGAACGATTGTACGAAAACTTTATAAGTCAGCGAGCCTGACCACCCGATCACGTTAGTCGCCTTTTACGACAAGGATAGTCGCCTTTTATGGCAAGCATGGGTTGCTGAAGACCTATTCTACCCCGGATCTTCACGGGTCGACGCCAATAGGGAATGTTATTGTTCACATTTCTCCAAGGCTCGCATTTCGGTAAACCTACACTGACCCCTGGACCCATCCTCGCAATCTCAAACTACCCGCCCTTGATTTCCATTTGCCCGTTTCATTGGCTACATTACTAGGTCTAACGGACCAATCCGAATGCGAGTTACACACCAGCCTCGATGTTAGGTTGGCCAGTCTCACTGATTATGATCGAGTTTGCGAGAAATTCAACACTGAAGAACTGCCTGACACGAAATTGAATGAAAGCCCTCAAGGATATTTAATGGAAAGAATGTCTTCATGTCCAATAAAACTGACGACTTTAGTATGTCACCACCTGCCTCTACACCCGGTGAGTAATAGAACCGTATACAGAACTGATGGAATACTGTGTGTGTACCATCTTCCCGAGGCAAAGGAGTTAACTGACTATAAAAGTCCAGTTTCCACCCTTGCCGAACTAGGCTGGTATTGTGGAGTTACATTTTGGCTGGACTAACGAGTCTATGCGTAGTCTAATAAAAATCGCGCACCGAAATCGAAATCAGGTTCGTAAACTGTCGTGCAGATTTCGATCGACTGCAGTATTTGCAAGCATGTGCACCGCCAACTCGTTGTCAACAGATATTATTCCAAATCTGTTTATGTTTTTAATCAAGGTCCTCACGTGGATTGATCCATTTCGCGATGTAAGACCCGTTTTATCACAATATAGATCTTGATTATCGATCAGATCGTCCTGACTGGGCGCCACCATTTTGTGTGAAGCAAACGCAAGTGATACGAGAGTTGGAATCTGATTGGTCCATAGGAGAGGCTTAGAAGGGACATAACTGGTAATAGCCACTGGTGGCGCTACGATCGTGCCCAGTAATTTCAGACTAGTTCGGCAAGGGTGGAAACTGGACTTTTAAAGTCAGTTAACTCCCTTGCCTCGGGAAGATGAGTGTGTACATGTACAGACAACGTTTAACACAGGCTTCCCGAAATGTCTACTGGAACCATACACGCTACAACTTTATTGGTACATCACTGACAAGAAATCTGATGCATGGCATCGACACGGCAGCAAAATCTTTGTTTGTAATATTATTTTACAATAAAATAATTTTCAAAAAATGTTTAATCAACACCAGCATGTTTAACACAATAAGAACCATATTGGTTTTAATTCATTCCCTGTTTTGCATCTTACAAATTGTTTTGACAACTGTGCGATTACCAGATTTACACTCTCAATTTGATAAACAATGTCTTTCAAAAGTAAAGAAGGGCAGAAGCTTATTCAAATCGGAACTAGCTCAAGCCACATTCAGCTTGTGATGACCCGGCACATAGGCAGTATACCCTCTCGTTGTTAATGTTAACTTTCAAACAAATGTCATGCATTTCAGGATCTAAATAAAACTTAACAACATATTGGTAATTTTAAGAATGAGTAGACCAAATATGACGTTTTAAATAATTGTTAAAAAATAGAAATGCTTGCACTTTCTGTTCATTTACCCATCAATTGAACAGAATTTTTAGAAAACTGCCTCACTCTCATTATAGTGGTAAACCGTCAGGGAAATGTCCTGCATTTCAAGGTTTAAATAAGCAATAAACGGAACAACTAACAACATATCGGAAATATTTAGAACTAGAAGAACAAATATGGCATGATATAAACAATTGTTTACAAATATTGTGGACACAGTGAGCGCATATGGTGATCAGTCAGTATCACCTATATTCGAGGTAGATAGACACCTTGTTGACAGTGAGCGCATATGGTGATCAGTCAGTATCACCCATATTCGAGGTAGATAGACACCTTGTGGACAGTGAGCGCATATGGTGATCAGTCAGTATCACCTATATTCGAGGTAGATAAACACCTTGTGGACAGTGAGCGCATATGGTGATCAGTCAGTATCATCTATATTCGAGGTAGATAAACATCTTGTGGACAGTGAGCGCATATGGTGATCAGTCAGTATCACCTATATTCGAGGTAGATAGACACCTTGTGGACACAGTGAGCTCATATGGTGATCAGTCAGTATCACCTTTATTCGAGGTAGATAGACACCTTGTGGACAGTGAGCGCATATGGTGATCAGTCAGTATCACCTATATTCGAGGTAGATAGACACCTCGTGGACAGTGAGCGCATGTTGTGATCAGTCAGTATCACCTATATTCGAGGTAGATAAACACCTTGTGGACAGTGAGCGAATATGATGATCAGTCAGTATCACCTATATTCGAGGTAGATAAACACCTTGTGGACAGTGAGCGCATAATGTGATCAGTCAGTATCACCTATATTCGAGGTAGATAGACACCTTGTGGACAGTGAGCGCATGTGGTGATCAGTCAGTATCACCTATATTCGAGGTAGATAGACACCTTGTGGACACAGTGAGCGCATATGGTGATCAGTCAGTATCACCTATATTCGAGGTAGATAAACACCTTGTGGTCACAGTAAGCGCATATGGTGATCAGTCAGTATCACCTATATTCGAGGTAGATAAACACCTTGTGGACAGTGAGCGCATAATGTGATCAGTCAGTATCACCTATATTCGAGGTAGATAGACACCTTGTGGACAGTGAGCGCATGTGGTGATCAGTCAGTATCACCTATATTCGAGGTAGATAGACACCTTGTGGACACAGTGAGCGCATATGGTGATCAGTCAGTATCACCTATATTCGAGGTAGATAAACACCTTGTGGACACAGTGAGCGCATAATGTGATCAGTCCGTATCACCTATATTCGAGGTAGATAGACACCTCGTGGACAGTGAGCGCATGTGGTGATCAGTCAGTATCACCTATATTCGAGGTAGATAGACACCTTGTGGACAGTGAGCGCATATGGTGATCAGTCAGTATAACCTGTATTCGAGCTAGATAGACACCTTGTGGACAAGTCTTTAAAATAAGATACTGGTGCGTGTTTTTTATGTTACGTTGACGAGTATCAACGGAAATATTGTTATTGAAGTCTACTGTACATACTCAGTGATGCCGCTCTGGCGTAGTCTTGGAAGTTGACCCCGGGGATGGTGGTTGGTTTCCCCTCGTCAATTGTCAGCAGGTAAGGTATATCATCCCCCCATGTGAAGAAGGCGACTTTGTCGGGCTGGTACAAGCTGCGGATTCTCCTCGATGCCATCGCGATACCTGCAATACCCGTGATATAAGTACAATATCCAGAAATCTTGCTCCTTGAGTGACTGACATATACACACATGTACAAGATCAGTGTATGTATACTGACTCCAACAACAGACAGGTTTGTGTCACCAATGTTGTATTAAAGTCACCGAGGTGGTGTATGCGATAATCGATCTACGACATTTCTCGACTGTAAATCGTTTATTTCATAAACTGTCAGATCCTTTGGGTTATTCCCAACCCGTATATATTAGAGAGATTGGCGATATGGGTTGTAGTCAGGATACAAATACATCCCTTGAGGGTTGGGAATCAGCCAGTCAGTTGAGGAAGAAGGGATGTATGTGTATCCTGACTAGAGCCCATATCGTCAATCTCTCCGCTAATAGCAGACGAAATATGCTGCCAACTTAATAAAAACTAGTTTACATGTAGTCTTGTGTTAAACAGTTCTGGTATACTTATATATGTAAGTTTTTAGTTTCACGTAAAGCAGAACTGGTGTGAGTAAGCCAAACGAAATCCAACACAATTTGAGTCTACGTCATTGTGCTCACCGTTGTCGCTGTCGCTTGCGTCCAAGGAGAGGAATTCCCAGGACTTGTTACCCATTGGGTAAAGGCTGGTGATTACCGAGTTCTCCAGGTCGATCCTCGCGATAGCATTATTTTCCTAGAACGATCTTCTCGTGTATCATTTCATGTTCCCAAAATATATATTCTATGTAACATAATATTACATGGCCATTTTATGATACGTCTGTTAGAACAAGCATTCTCCCAAAGGCATGATGTCATTCTCTACATGTGATGTGACGGGCGCATAAAAAAACAACGTGCAAAACAAATGTACTTGTTTAGACACATATATATACATTAATGGGGTTCTTACATGTTGACTTACCTGTAGGGTAATGTAAGCGAACCCATTGCTGGGTGAGATGGCCACATATTCCGGCTCCACGTTCTGGGAGAACTGGATGATGTTGCTAGCGTCAGTAGGGTCACGGCGAAGCCAGTAGCGGACGCCCCTATCAAGTATCGGGCTGAAAGAAGTTATCTTAAATTTAGTGAGAGACGATGTAATACGCACATTGAATCAGGTAATCCTCAAAATGCACCATATACAAGTGTATGTTAAATTCACTGAGAAAGGCTAGAACATACTAATATACTATTCTAAAAGTAGGGGATAGCCGGAATTAACTTAAAAAGTCCCAAATTGTAAGATATATTAGCTTCTAGTAACAGTTGTATGAATGAATGAATGAATTTGGAACACATTACAACCAGTAGTGTATGTAGTATGACAGTAGAGGTCATGACCCCCAACAATCTTGAATGATAATCGGGCTTAGATGGAAAATGTCAAAGTTGACACTTTCGGTTCAGTATGGCGTAATACCACAATGATTTGTCAAACATTCATTCACTCGACGAGGCATTCTGCATATGAGTCTCCCAGAAGCGATTTGAGAGAAAGGTCTTGGCTCATTGCTGGCCATGGCATGGTGAAATGGGGTTTAACGTCGCGTCCAAGATTATTGCATTTATATAGCTACGTGCATGTACGTGTGTGGCTGCTTGTACTAGTCCGGACTGATGCCGATTTATAGTGCTAGCTCACTGAGATACATCTTCTGGTATGACGCGGCCGGGGATCGAACCCCGGACCTTCCGCTCTCCGGGTGGACGCTCTACCGCTAGACCACGGAGGCGGTCTGTGCTGCTGGAGGTGAGCATTGATGAGTCGAGCATGGTCCAGTGACGTTTCCTTGCACAATATAGAATGGGGTTCGCTCAGTCATAGTGATGCCATCCCACATCAAAACTGACCCAATGTCAAATTTGTCGTGGGTTCTCAGGTGGACATTGGTTTGACGCTCATTTCGACGTCCAGATACTACCATGCAAAGAAGCGTAGAGTGTAAACATGACACGTGACCAGGGATGATTAGCCCAGTTTCGAGGTTGTATTCACCATTGACATCTGTTAGCAAAATGGCGATTTGTAAGGGATGCCACACCAAGTGGCCGTCGAGCATGGAGATAATGTGCATGTTGACGATTTCTAATCGTCTGACCCGTATCTCATATTCCAGTTTAAGTTTGTAGCAATTGGATTCGCCCTTTGAGCTCAGCTTGGTTTCCGATCAATCGATGTTTCACTCTTGTCGTTTAACTGAGACGCCCTTATCAGGGTCGATCGTCAACTATTTGGGGTTTTTTGGTACCTGTTCCATATTATGCTAATCATAGGCTATGAAACACTGAACGTATTGGCCATTGCACGCTGATTTCTGCCAGTTTCGTTCATGTCAGCAGCCTAAAGATGCTCCGCGCTTTGCAAACGCAACTTCGCTAGTTCATACACAAAACAATGAATGAAATCAAATAAATAACAACTGAATGATAAGCAGAATCAGTAAAATTGACAGAAACAATGGTCCACGGAGATTATTCGGCCTTCTGTCAAAATCAGATACACTTGGTATTAGCATTTATAGTTCACGCTCCCCTACTTTTTTAAACAGTATATCAGTATAATGTCTTTTGCAGTATGAAATTACACAAGTTCACTCTGGTCGTCGAATTTTCTGAAGTCGATGGTTGCGACTGTTGGTATAGCGCCAGGCGTTGGGGAGAATGTAAGCACAGAAACTGTCCCCTCGGGGTCAAAGAAGGTGCCATCGACGACCCGGGGCTCCCCCTCGTTAGATACGACCAGACGACGACAGTCGCTGGTGAACTTCATATTGTCAGGATGGGCTCCCACTGGAAGGGAACAGATCATATTACAGGTCACAACTATATCGATAGGATTATATTCTTTCATATCATGCTCTTCAAAGTTATTACATTGACTGCTGATTTATTATGAAGAAGACCGCCTCCGTGGTCTAGTGGTAGAGCGTCCACCCGGAGAGCGGAAGGTCCGGGGTTCGATCCCCGGCCGCGTCATACCAAAAGACGTTAAAAGATGGTACTTGTTGTAACCCTGTCTGGCGCTCGGCATTAAGGGGCTAAAACAAGGACTGGTCGGCTCAGAGTCAGTATACTGTGTCTGAGTGGGGTATTCATGTTAAACTGCGGCATGGTATCTCAGTGAGCTAGCACTGTAAATCGGCATCAGTCCGGACTAGTACAAGCAGCCACACAAACACACACACGTACATGCTCGTCGCTATATAAGTGCAATAATCTTGGACGCGACGTTAAACCCCATTTTACCTCACCTATTATGAAGAACAGCATTTATGACTAGAGGGAGACCCATCCGATTATTGTAGCTTATTATTGTGGACCTGAAGACTGGTTACCCAGGAGTCAGTGAGTTGGGTTTAACGCCGCTTTAAACTGTATTTCAATTTTATCACGGCGTGTCAGCTTAATGTGCGGGTAAGGCCCGAAGTGATGCAGGTTTCAGACTTTTACCACTTGTTTTAAAAGCCACGAGCACGGGTAAAGTGCTGACGGACCTAGAAACATAATGGGGGCAAACTGGGATTCGAACTCCCAATCAAAGGTTTCTTGAGTGCCAAAGGGACGCAACTCCTCACAGCGAATTGCTGTGCCTTAGACGACTGGGCCACCTGTGACCCCTGATTACTTATAGGAGACGCACCAGGCATCAGATGTAGGCATGTCTGTCCATTCACATTACGCTACGGCAAAGTCTATATTCGCCTATATTGAGCGACTTTTCAGTGTTGATATGTTACGATTGTAGGTAAATCTGCATAGTATTCTGAAAATGGTGATGGGACTTTCTACATTAAGTTACCAAGATATTCAACTGACCGATAATCCTGGGATCTGTTGGGTTGAGGGGAGTAAGTGTATCGGAGCTGCTCTCAAACAGATTGTAAAGAACCAGATGTCCCTCATAAGCCACAGAATCTTGGCCGTCAAAGGTGACAGCCAGTGTGGGTGTAACCCCCGCCGCCCGACACAGCTCCACATCCAGTGGACGGCCGTCGGCGGCGATGTCGAAATTGTATGCGTAGACTTCCTGCGGGTTGGCGGGGTCAGCGAGGGAGATGACGTGCAACATAGCCGTGTCACGACCTGAGAATACAAAACTGACATGTAAAAAAAGGGGCCTCTGTCTCTCGTATTCTTTTAAATAAGTTAGCTTTGAGATATATCGCAAAGAACAATAATTAAATTTTCGTTGTGTTCATTATAACTCCTGCGTTGTGATTAGCTGAATTGGTCATTGCATTCCTTTCCCAATGTAAAATAATTAGCCACGCCCACCGAAGCGGACTACTTATATTACTATGGATTGTCGAGGAATCCCAATATTACAGTCGAGGGAATTCCTTTTCTGCTTACTTGCATCGTTATGCACAGGACTTTTTAGCGATATTTATTTACATTTAGTACTAACTACTAAATGACTTTATCGCGAGTATCCAAACCATTGGCTAACTACGCCCGTAGCTTAATCACCCCTTGTAACTGAATCACCCCCGGGGCAGCACCCTGCACCGTGCCCGGGGCAACAGATCCCGCGCAAGCGTCATCCCTCCTTTGTTACATCCTATAGTCCACCATTCGCGCACCGTCTCTCTTCACGTGTTTCGCTGTATCTAATCGCTTGTGGGCTACACTGCTAGTAACAAATGAACTTGCTTCAAAATTAATACTCGTGCTTAAGGCTACCTGCTTTTCAGCCGTAACCTTTCCGGGGTTACCTGCCTCTCAGTGGGAACCTTGTCTTTCCCGACTTTTCAGCCGGGGAATCGTAAAATAACTTAGGTCGGGCAACCAATTGCCATGTATATGGGCCGGCGGCGGAAGTCGTGTTGTCAAGCGGTAGCAGTTGACAGTTGGGTCAGCGGCGGTAGTGGCGACAATGGTTTTACTAATGGGGTGGTATCTGCTTTGGCCGGCTACCTGGGGCCGGGCAGCGGTAGTCGAGTATGAATGGAAAAGGAGGCTCACTCGCCTGTTGTTGTTTTTCGCACTCTCGTTCCACAAATTTCATGTCTTTTAAGTCTAATTTCTAACACGCATCAAACCCGTGGTTTATTTCACAATAAGCCTCGTTCTGTCGTGACGTCATTTCTGGAGATTGGAATATGCGCTCGCAAAATGATGATATCATATATTCGATGAGGTTATTTTTGAGAGGGAAGTGTCTAGTAAGTTGTTGCCCGTATAGATGTAGCTAGGCTACGCAGATAAACGCAGTGGCCGAACGATCGCATCCAAACGAGATATATGACAATCGGTATTAGGAGAAAAACTAGAGATAATTCGACGTGAGGAGTGTGACAATATGCGGGAAATACCAGACTTAACTCATCTGTTGGTAAAATGGGTTTGTCCGAAATTTCCGAGGTCGGATTCTATTCAGGGAGTCATCATTATTAAAATGTGGGTAAATATTTTAAAAGTTTGTACATTTTATCAACATCCTAAAGAGGCTGTACATAATGTTCATATCTCATATAAACCATTCACGACCCATGGTTTATTCTTCCTGCAGTGTTTTATTGTATGATAAACAACTATTTTATAATGTATCCAAAACTGCATCAGCAGAACAGCAAGGTATACGAAATACTTGACTCACCAACAACATAGAGGTAACTCCTGACATCATCATAGGCGCTCTCCCTGGCTGTTCTGCTGTCGACGACGTACTGGCCGTTACGGTCGGGGAGTCTCAGATAGGATGCCTCTTTCAGTACCACCACACCATAGGCCACGCCCACTAGGGCAACCATTCCCACCAAACACACGTGCATTGTGCTGAGGTGTAAGAGTCTAGTATAAACAAGAGATGATAGATGTTGCATTCAAAACCACCACGATATTATACTTCATTTCATTTCCGTCAGAATTACTTAAAGAAACATATGTTTTCATATTTGCCTTTTCCCTCTCGCGTTAGGGGGTAATGGCAACAGCTAAAGATATGCAGACCTCATAGCAAAATAAGCCATTGGTCCTCTGATGTGAGTGAGTGAGTTGGGTTTAACCCTGCTTTTTAACAGTATTCCAGTTATATCACGGCGTGTCAGCTTAATGTGGGAGGAAAGCCCGAAGTGATGCAGGTCTCAGACGTTTACCACTTAGGTAAAACCCACGAGCACGGGTATGGTGCTGACAAACCTAGAAACATAATCGGGGCGAACCGGGATTCGAACCCTCAATCATAGGTTTCTGGCGTGCCCAAGGGACGCGACTCTGCACAGCGAATCGCGGCGCCTTAGACGACTGGGCCACCCGTGCCCCCCTCCTCTGATGTATAGTGGTTACACCAGAACCTCACCTGATCCGGACTTTAGTTGAGTGGACTGTACAAAGGTCTTACCTGGAAGAAGATAGAACAGACTACTCCAACAATATGTTTCAAGTATGCAGCTGGACGTTCCCAGTGCACCCACGCCTTGAAATGCACAAACCTGCACGTCAGCCACCATCAGCTGTCACGGCGCCCCACCAGTCTACAAACTAGATTAAAGCCCCTATCTCATACACGATTTAAGACATTACGAACACGATTTAAGAAAAGTTGAAAAATCGTGTTGATTCGTGCTCGACCTTGTGGTTTATGTAAATTTCTTAATGCTACCATCACACCAAAGTAGTTCTATCCCGTTCTTCCCCGTTCTAAACAAAATACTAGAATGGGCTGAAATCACGTAGAACGTGTAGTTTGGCGTAAAATACGATGCTAGTTCGTTCATAAGCAGTGCTCAATACGTCTATCTCGTTCTTATCTCGTTCTTATCTCGTTCTTATCTCGTTCTTAGCCAGTCTGCAGTCCGTTTGTTTCCAGTTCAGATCGTGTAAAAGTGCCCGTTCACCTCATCCCGACAACGTTTCGAAGCAATTCGAGCACGTCCATAGCCGTTCTCAACATGATCTTAACCAGTTCAACCTCGTTCTACCTCGTTCACAATACGTCCAAGCTAGTTCTAATTAATTCTTAACACGACCAACTCGTTCGCAGTACGTCCTCATCTTGTCCCAAGTGCGTGTGTATTCGCGTCCTTGCCCTCCTGGCCCGTCCCGGATACCGAGCGCGTTGTAGCCAGTCTTCATTCAAGTTCAGGGCTCCGAGCTGTACACATCATGCCTCCAAAGAGAAGTCGACCCGGTCGGTGTGCACACGTACTGAAATTTATGTCGGACTGCACCACGTCGTAACACGTCCCTAGTGGGTTCGAAGTACGCTAATTCCGTTCGAAGTACTTTGTCAATCCGACTAATTGCAGAACGGGATGGACGGGATAACATTTTGAGCAGACTCAAAGTTCTGGAGCACCCTCCCCGTCCGAGCCCGTCCATGAAGTTCGTAAAAAGACTGTCAATAAATGCTACTACCTCCACTACGTTCATACACAGTTGGAGCCCGTTCGACAACATTTTCACGAACGTATTGAGAACTAGTTTGGTGTGATGGGGGTATAACCAAACACGACCCTCATTCGACCCTCATACGACTCTCATACGACCTTCAACCGACTGAACACGACACTCATACGACCGTCATAAGATATTCATACGATACAACACGATTTAACCTCATTTAACACAACCCCAATACGACTGTCATACGACCAGACACGACAGTCATACGACGCCCATACGACCTAACACGACCGCCATACGATTAAACCAGAATCATTACGATGTCCATACGACTACAAATATAAACACGATCTCCATACGACTGAGCAAAACCTTCATACGACATATTTTTGTTTATTTTGGTCACGTGGGTCATGTAGTATATAAGCTGCATTGGAACAGCATTTCTGTGTCAGTCTTCACCATGTTCAACAATGAACAAGACCCGCAAGAAGAAGCTTTGGAGTAGGAGGAAGTCCTGGTAGCTATGGCTTTTATGGTAAGGGGTATGAGGTAGCGTAGGCGTCGCAGAGTGAGGAACAGGAAGAGATTCTGGGTTCGACCATGGTTGTTGAGGAGACCTCTGTATGGGAAGTATGAACACCTAATGCAAGAACTGTATTTTGGTGGTGGTTCAGAGGTTTCAGCTGGCTCATCTTGTCCCTGGGTACCGGGTGGATGTTCATCCATGGTTGGTGGTGAAGGATGTTTCCCTTTCGAAGGTTTTGCTTGGAGGAGCTTCCGTTTCGGCCGCCTGAGGTTTGGCATGGCTGTAGAATGAGCTTTCACTTTCAGGGGGTTTGCCACGTACTCCCTCAGTCACGTGATGGACTCTTCCGGTCGTAAGACAAACGTATGGATTTCGTGTTCATGCGTATGGGAGTCGTATGAAAGGCGTATGAAAATCGTGTTGAATCGTGTTAAAACGTATGAAGGTCGTATGAGTTTCTTCCCACGCTCCCCAACACGACTGAACGCGACTGAACACGATCTTCATACGACTGAACACAATCTTCATACGATTGAACACGACTGTCATACGACCTTCATACTACTGAACACGACTTTTCCGACCGGCTTAAATCGTGTTATAAATTTTTGTATTGCAAAAAATTATAACACGATTTACCGTATTTTCTTGAGTATAGCGCGCACCTATGTATAATGCGCACCCCACTCTAGCGAATTCGAATGTCAAGCGCAAAAAAAAATTACACTGTAGATCTACCCCTTCAGCGAATTCCGGTAAACGAACGGGTGATGAGAAACTTGGTCAGTACAAATTCGAAATTTGAGATAAAAAATCACCAGACATGTTTATTTACCGTTTAAATGTATTTTTTGTTCTGCAAGGCATTGTTTTACATCCAGGGATTAAGATTACCTTGTGTATTTTCTCATAAACTAAGCCCGAAACAGTAATCAGCTGTACACACGTTTTCTTGGAATCTACCGGTGATTCGGTCAAGACACACCCAATGATATAACCTTACAGGATGTTAATGCAAAGATCGGCAAAAATTGAATCTGAAACTATTTTTTTTATCAGGAATAATATATCCAAATATCTTGTTAATTCAGTTGCAGCTTTTACTAAACATATTTTAAATAATAATAACCCTAAGCGAAGCAGCTGATCGCAAGTGCCTGTTATTATTTTTGACATAGAATCGTCAAACTATAACAAATATGACTTTTAACGAGTCAAAGTAACACGAATGAGTGCGCGACCTTCATACGTTCTAACACTATTTAAGGAAAACGTTAAATCGTGTTCAGATTCGTGAATGTGAGATAGGGGCTTGACTGAGGGTTGGGCACTGGTTAACGGAGTAGGTCAAGACCACCTATGTTTTAAAGAATTGAAATGATAACAGTGGTAAACCTGAATAGGTCAGACTCATTTTAACTTTGCTAATACCTTTCTCGTAGAGATTTACACAGATTTTGATTGGTCAAGAAAATTACGGTTACGTCATAGCTACATGAGTACTGCCCCTTTGATGGTTATACTGGTGAATAGTTTGGCTATGTGCAGTGTATGTCCTGCATCAGATCCTCACCACATGGGACTGGACTTGGACTGGACTGGACTTGCGTCCGGCAATGAAACACCTGAGTTGTCAGGTTTTCTTTATCCGTTAGTTGGTTTGCACTAAAACGGTTTCGTCAATACTAGCCAGCTAACCCAGCTGGATGAAAATGACACGTGTTACTTGTTAGTGGGGCCTATGAATATACCAATGAATCATCAGGCTTGAAGAAATGACTTAATAAACCTAATATATAGCTTGTCTTTTTTTCTATGCGTCATAACGACCTGTTCGTGACAAACTCATCGTCTCAATTGAGTAAAAAGGCTAATTGCCATGGAGCCATGTCGTGTATATGTCCAGAATCACTCAACTGCCATTATTTGAAAAATGCTTATCCCAAATGTTAATTACCACCTTACATTGTACATTGGCTATAATTATAGTTGCACGTAATCAGAATACAATGTAAACGTAACGACAGTTTGTGACGCACACGCAGTGTGTGTGTGTGTGTGTGTGTGTGTGTGTGTGTGTGTGTGTGTGTGTGTGTGTGTGTGTGTGTGTGTGTGTGTGTGTGTGTTTGTGTGGAATTGGTCTTGCACAGAGTCTTGCAGAACATCGGTCCAGGGAGAGGCAATGGTGTCCCAGAAGCTCGGTACATTGATCAAGTCTTGAGACCACACGCCATACCTCATTTGCCACGTCGTCGCAACCACGAGTTTCAGCATGATAACACCCGTGCCCACACTGCGAGAACAACAAGAGACCTCCTCCAGCAGAATGGCATCAGAACCATGCAGTGGCCCTCGGTCCCGATTTAAATCCCATTGAGCACCTGTGGGACGAGATTCAAAGACGGCTGAATGACACCCGACCAAGGCCGACAACTGCAGCTGAACTGCGTCAGGCGTTCTTCAGAGTGTGGGTTCAAGTGCCTATGGCTTTCATCAACCGCCTCATCCATTCCATGTATCGACTTTGCACGGCAGTCATCAATGCACATGGCGGACACACGAGATACTGACTTGTAATGCCATTTTCTCAGAGACTAGTGTTGTGTTTCACTTTAAGAACATTTGACACTTTAATTTCAACCTTGATGATCAGTTTTGCCAAGTTTCATCTTTATAATTTGTCTCAAAGTATGTAAACAGTTTTTTGACAAATAAGGTTTCTCACATATCTGTCCATGGTGACGTTTCTTTTGCGGTTCAGTTTATATAGATATAGATATAGATAAAGAGATAGATATATAGATAGATATATATATAGATATATATATATATATAGATATATATATATATATAGATATATAGATATAGATAAAGATAGATATATATATATATATAACGTAAGGCATAATGGGTTGTAAATGTTTTACATTTAAGCTGTAATTAGAAATGTGGTCTACTAAAGAAAGAAAAAGGGAATAAGAGCCTAGCCTAAGTCTAGAATCGTTTGCGAGGGGAGGCGATTGATGGCAGTGAGCGTTGTTATTGTGTCCATTGACAGTTTGCTGGGTAAATGATGTTCTACGTTAGTGTTTTGGATAAGTGGAATCGTAGAAGGCAGTTCGCGCTGGATATTTCGATCCCGATCCTAAATGGGAAAAAGATTGTTCACATTATAAAATTTTGAAGCAAAGTTTGTTTGGGATGTTCTAAAATTTGTCCGTGAGTTTAGAATTAAAAATGAAATTGATAATGGAGTTGTATATTGTATTGCTGGGGGGTTGAATGGAGTGAATTCTAAGGAAATACTGTGCTGATAGTGAGATGGGATAGAGTGATATATTTGAGAGAGGACAGTGGTTAAAATGTGATCTAGATCTTCGGGAATGAGGCAGTTTGTACAGTTACCATTTAGATGACTTTTAGGCTTAAATAAGATAGTTAAGATTTCTATTGCCACTGATAATACGGGACATTATGTCATCGAAAAACGGTCGAATTGTTAAAATTGTGGCATTTATAGATAGGTTTATGAAATAAAGTCTTAATACAGGTTAACCCAGCAGAAATTTCGAATTTTGATGGATTGTTGTATTTTAGATTTCAGCTCGGCCTTGGA